ACCTACATGGGACAAAAGAGGAATGAAAAAGCCCTCCAACTGACAAAGCCCTCCACTGCCTGCCTTCCTTTTTAGTGGGTATGTAGCTTAGCAGCTAAAGCTTCCATGTCACTCTTCCAAAGCAAATAAAATCAAATCTCCCTGCCCACATAACTACAGTACAGAAGAATGTCAGAAAGGCTGGTGCAGCTGTGGGAAACATCAACATATCTCAGCACTGCAAGGTACACCACACAGCAATGAGAAGACAACAGATTTCAGTAGATCTGGTGAAGACCATGGCTGGATTACCATCAGTACAGCCCCTTCTTTCTTGCTCCTTTACTAATGCCCTGAGGTTTCTAATGAGAAACACTTAAATAGCTGCAGATTGAGGCTGTCACCCAAGTGCTGTGCACTGTCACACAACACAAAGGTGTTTTAGGAGGTGGTTCATCTGAAATCCTACATTTTGCACAGAGATTGAGGCTTAAGCACTAGGCAACACCTGGGTGATTTGTCATGCTGGAGCATCTGACACAGGTTGGATGAAAGCCTGTTGTGTGGTGACTCTGTCCAGCAAGCAGCCAGTCTACATGCCTGACCACCCGGGAAGGGTTTGATGGATGGAAAACTTCAGAACCACGCTGGACTAACTCACATATAGATGTATTTTCCTTTGTCACATAAGATTTCTTACAGGAATGTGAATATAAAAAAGATGCAGTGTACTCCTGTCTCCGACAGTGTGAGACATTTCACACATCTAACATCCACCCGGCACGATAGAAAAGCATGAATCAGAGGCTCAGAGCTGCTCAATTCCAGAAATCCTTCTACACAGCAGCAATCTCTGGTAAAACAGCCTCACAGCTGCTCTAAAAGTATTCCAGCTGGTGTCATGCCTTCCTAAGGAACCATCTGCTAGCAAGAGTGCATCAATACCATACCGATATGCTGACAGTCTCCACCTTCTAGGCTAGAGATGCAAGTGGCATAGCGCTTGCCATCCAGAAGCTGGCATTGTCCCTGGCTTAGAAGAACCACTTTCCTTCAGCAGCATGCCTTCCCAGTAGGTTCAGAGGAACTGCAGCAGGATTTTACTGAATCCTTCAATACAAAGCCTTGCTGGGTCCATTTGTTGACAGTTGATCAGTTTGTGCTCATGAGCAACCTCCTGCACCATTCCAGCAATACCCCATTTACGCTCTCAGATAGGCAGCAAGTGAGATAAAAAAGATGCTGGCCAAGCTACCAAAGACAAAATGATCTTTCCTGCCACACATCTCAGCTCACTTGTCCCTGCTGACGAGTTCTGAAGAGATGAGAGCCACACTGGACCACCGTGACATCACTGTGTGGGCTGAAGGAAGAATCTCCCAGCCTAAAAATAGCCATTGGAAAAGGCGGGGATAAAAAATCCTCTCCCACCCAGAATTTGGGGATGCAGGGTCAAATGCTACACATATCACCCATGCAAGCAGAATTCTGGCATCCTTCTCTGCACTGCTTCATACTGAAGTGATCTTCAAAAGGCAGTAAAAATCCTCACCCAGGGCAAGCTCTTAACATTTCTGTTTAAATGTACTGAAGAGGAAATCAAACTCATCTTTTTCAAAAGATCCTGTTGACAGTACCTGTCATTAAACGGCAGCTATTCTGCCCTTCTGTTGTCAGCAGCTGGCACAGAAACTCTCGCAGCTCTGAACAGCATATACCCACGTACACAAGCTCACATCTTTTCCTCACCATGCAGGAATATTTGATGTGGAAATACAAGCCAAAGAAAGCTTCTCTCTCAGAAAGTGCAACCCCATTGTGAAAAACCACACACCTCAACAGCAGGACTAGGGCACAAACCTCACTCTTTCAGTGGGTGCAGCCTACTGAACTGGCTCAATACCAACCAGCCACACAGGGAGGATGCTCTCAGCATGGCAAAGGACCCACATACCAGCTGCAGCTATTCAATGGATTTGCCCTTCTCCAAAGTGCTGGGTTAAGTTGGAAAAGATAATGTGGGTAAAAAGTAAACCAGCTATTTACTCTTTGAATCTCTCGCTGTGTAACTCTTGGGTACCCAGCGCTCCACTGAAGGAATGTCAGATTCTCCCATGCTGGCACAATAATACACAGATTGTTTCTGAAGGTTATGGCAGTTTATTTTTACAACTTTGCTCAGTGCCTACAAATCTTTCAGCTGTACAGCATCTGGTTCAGGCACTGCCCTTTGAATGGCTTTTCTGTTGGTGCAGTAATTAAAGGCATCCCAGGTGACACCTGATCCCTTATCAAGTTCATTAATTTAAGTGGAGTTATTTGGCTCTCTATTTTCTATACTTCATAATGTATTTCTAACCTTTAAAGTGACATAGGCAAGCACCAGATTGCAGGAGTGCTTATTAACAGCCTATTAAAATATTTTATGGCCTTTATTTTTACGTTGCCATAGGGAATCAAGTATTTTGCTGTTGTTGAACTGGTTTGGGATTTATGTTGCAACAGCTTCACCACAGCCTAACACAGAACAGCGCTAGGAAATGAACTGGGAGAACAAACTCCCATTCAGGTCCTCATGTGCCATAAAGCTGTCAAATGCAGATCACAGCAAGGGGCCCTCCAATCCACGTCTTCGATTCTGTTTGTTTTTTAAATATAAGCTGACAAGACAAGATCCAGTGCTCTGGAACCATGCTGAGAGCCACCAAAGGCAGAATTCTTGTAGAGAAACATACTTAGGTATCTTTTTTTTTACCAACCCTGTAAACCCACAGAGGTAAGCTCAGAAAGGATCTCAGTGGTCACCTCTAAAACAACATTACTTGTTGTTTTTTATTCTAGAGCTGCTGTACCACATCCACATTTTGCAACAGCATTAGCACAGATTTAGGAAGATCACGATCTTACCTAGAAGACCATGATTGCACCTAAAGGACTTCTGGAGATGATGAGTCCCTTGCAACCCTAGAAAAGCTTTCATAAAGTGAATTTTCCCCTCTGTTAAAACTCAAGTATATCTGATATTGAGAAAGCAGGTACCTTTGATTTGGAAACTTAACTCTTTTCTGCATAGGTACACATTGCAAATCAAATCTCTTCTGAAAATCTTGTTTTGATAAACTTATTGGAGTGAGCCTCAGGATCCTCCTGAGTTTGCATAATGTTTCTCTCTCTCTTTTAAAAAACACAACAAGTTTCTTGTAACAAAGAAACATATTTGGAAGGGTATCAGCAACATACTTAGAGTACTTTAATTGCTTGTGTTTTCAAAACGTTTTAATGAAGTCAAATCACGAATAGACACTCCTCTGCCAAAGAGCCCATAAAATATTTTACAATGACATGATAATTGACATAACTCGTTGTATAAATTCCTGGCATTTTAAACAAAGATATTACAGATTAGCACAAACAAGAATACTCAGTAGGCAATTATTATCTCTGTTTTAATTATAAAGGCTTTGGAGGTTTTTTGTTGTTGTTTTGTTTTTTTCCCAATTTTTAACTTAAATGTCATTCTGAAAGGTTTTCTAGACAGATTTTGTGTGGGTAACCTTAGAAAGCCTGTCTCAGCAAGCAATTCCATATCACTAATGCATGATGAGTAGTCAGTCATATAGCAAGTCTCTAGTGCTACTAAATGTACCATTCCTTTAACACCTCGACCAAGACCGTATGAAATGAATGAAAGACTACCATGCTGAGATTGGACCCAGACATCCAGGAGGGCCTGCTCCTCCAATTTCACCTTACAGCTAAATGACGGCAGGAGAAACAGTGACACACCACAGAGCAGTCTGTCCATAACCCTGGCAAGGACAAACATGGCAGATGAATACCCTGCAGGTCCCCGAGCTCACAAAATCACGGTCTTTCTCAGCTTTGCCTGTATGCATGCAAGGTTGAGCCTAAGAAACAAAAACTTCACCCTGTAGACTACTGCCATGGCATGCCAGTGGCACTGCAAGTTTTTGCTTTTTTTGGAAGTTTGCTTTTTAGGAAGTTTTCAAAGAGGGACTGACCTACTTTAAATCAAAGGGACATCTGCAATTGCAGCTCAACATTATCAACAATAACCTTGCTGAGAACCATCTTGCTATGCTACCGTTCAGCCATTCCTAACAAGCTCCTTTCTTGCCTCTTCCCCAGCTCCTGCCACAGAAGAGAATGGACACTAGCTTGCAGTGGTGTCACACAACACTGTGCTTTCTTAGGTGTGCAGTAAAGCGCTGACACCAACAATTTCCTTCTGAAGTTCATTAGATTGTTTTATTAATTAGCAGGCTCCCCATCTTATCACATGCTGCACCTGAAATCCCACTTGTATTTCTGAACCAAGTAATTAAAGGCAGAGGTACTTGAATAAACAAGCAGTGATGGAGAATAATATTCCATCAATGTAATGAGGCAGCTTGCTAGACAGTGAGATGCCCTGGCTCAGACATTATTATCTAAGTCCAAGGGTAAGCACACCTTGGTTGGCGATTGTGTCCTCTGTTATAGGCATCCCCAGGTAAACCCCAGTAACTTGGATGAAACTAATCAGATTCCGGGGAGAATTTGGGTCATTAAATCTGTCAGCGGCCAAAATAAACAGAAAAGAAGAAAGACTGCTGTACTCAGAGCATGGAGAAATAGCAATGATCAACAGTTTCAACACCTTCCCTGTAGAGACGGCAGTAATTACGTGGTAATTATCGGGTGCAATTTCCTCTTATGTAAAGGGACTAGGTTGCCTTCTTCAAGGATAGCAAATGTAACTTTGCTTCCTTCGTGCAAAATTGAATGGAAAATGCACTGACTGAACACTAACACGAGTTGAATCACTTTAAAGACAGTCTTTCAACAATAGCCACTTGTTGGTATCCATTAGAAACCGTTCCGCAGTGCTGTAATCCAGTACCTTATTATCACTGCTGTCAGCAGAGTTGGTTTCCTTGCATGCCATAGTAGAGGAACAGGGGCATAAACAGCAAAGGAAGAAAGAAGCAGAGAGAAAGAAAAAAACCACAACCACTTACTTGATATTGTCAAGACATCCAGATTCAGGTTTCAGTATGGCAGTATGATGAAACATTTTATAGAGAGCAATCCCAAGGAAGATTACATTAAGCTGCAAAAAGAGGGAGGAAAGAAAAAGGCAACATGACATGGCAGAATGTGATAGGAAGAAATCAGACTTTTCTCTGTAACAGTTTCAGTTTCTGTAACAGATGAGTTGCTCTAGAAAATTAGCTCTCACTACAGTTTTATACAGACTGAATAACAGAAAATTGCCAAGTATTTTATAAGGTGAGCCAGCCTGCAGGCTATGGAGCAGGGATGTCACAGCATTACAAAGCTGTGGAGCAGTGTATGTTACTGATATAGGGCTGGTTCCAACATCAACTGTAGTGCTTCAAATGACGTTATGGAAAATTAAAAACAATTCTCTAATGGCTCATCCATGTCTGAGAGGTACACGCTCATGAAAAGTCTCTAAGTTTCTTGCTTAACCAGCCTCATTGAAAGCAAATAAAAAAGCAACTTCTTCTGTGAATTTACCTTTTAAATAAGGTGTAGTGGAGGAGATGGGCAGGGAAATTATTCTTGTTGAAGATGCTTAGCACAGTGCAAAGCAAAGCAATAAGAGTCTGAGGTATTCAGTAAAAGACATGATGGTGTTTCAACACTTCAGTGTTAGCAGGGTCACCAGTTCCTGGAAAGGAGTTCCCAAAAGCCCAAGCCAGGGTTTTAGACATAATGAAAAAAGGAAGATATCTTTTTGTGAATGCATTGTTTGAGAGGAAAAACAAACACAACAGATTTGGCTGGTGGTGCAGCTCCCAGCTGGAGCTGGTGTGGAAGGCTGCTGAAATACTCTCCAGCAGCAGAAGAACCAGAGACAATGTCTGTATTGACATGAGCTCGTGGTTTGCTGTGTTAGCCAAACTCCAGTCTATTCAAAACAAAGGATGGTTTATTGAAGCCATATTGTAGTGATTAAAGTATCAGAAAACTCCAGCTGTCTCTAAAGTTGTGTTCTTTACCTTGTTGCTGTGGTAGCTGATACAATAGCAACATGCTAAGTGAAAAGTCACAGGAATTTCAACTTCTGCAGGGGAGGAGACCCTCTCCATAAAACCTCTCTTCCAGTTTTGACTTTATTACATCCCCTTAACCTCAGATCTCCTTTTCTGCGTGATCCACGCAAAGGTTTGCACAAGTTCCAAAGCAGGGACAGTAGGTGGCATCCATATATATACAATAGGTTGGTACTTCTGAGCATCTAACAGCACAAACCAAGCTGTCCGCGCACCTGCTCCAAGGCAGTGCCCAGAGTATGTACTACATGCCCTCCCCTCCCTGATTTGATCGAGTATTTCACCACATAAAGAGCCTCCTGTAACGAGCCTCTAATTGCTTGTGCCAGGTGGGGTCACAGAAGAACATGCCTTTCTCAAACTAATCTGTGTAAATTAAAGATACAGTCTAAAGGGACAGCAAAAGTTTTATTTCTTGACCTGAGAGATGGAGTAGTTAATTAGGAGTTCTTACCATAATTATCAAGGTCGCTGGTCCTATAAAGCTCCAAATGAAGTAGGTGTCAAGTCGGAGCCAACATCTGTAATGAAACACAGGGGAGAGAAGGCATTCAAGGACTGCACCCAGGACATACATCAAGAGTGAGCAAGTGACAGAGAAGAATGTGAGCTGCAAAACACGCCAGTGGGAGACAGGAAATATTACATTGCTTGTTCATTTAAATGCTGAATTATGTGCCCGATTTCTGACAGTGCTATTGATGGAATAAGATAATTACCTTTGGAGGAAGCAGGGGGAAAATGGCACAAGGCCTATCTGCTAGGGCTTTCTGTGTCCATCAAAAAATACCTTAAAACATTTTATTTTAAGGAAGGGCTCCGATGAGTAGCTATGGAGCCTTTTTTGCTTTAACCTCAGCTTTCCTCTCCAGATCTGATGCAACACAAGCTGTCTGTCAACAGTCAAGTGAGATGACATTTTTCCATCAAGCTGATCAGAGCAAATTTGTTGCAAACAGGAAGCATGATTTTGATAACAGAAGGCTGTGGTTTAATTAGGTTCAGCGACTTCCCCTTTAGAGCATTTTATTTCCCTGATCCTCCAGAGTGTTTTGTTTCTACTAATGTTTCGAGCATTGCATATGGTCTGTGTGATCCCATGAAGTTGATTCATGGCCTAAAACTAAATTATTAATCGCTTAATTTCAACTGCGTTTAATACTCCCCCCATTTTTTTCAGGCCCCCGGGAAATTATATTTCCATTCCTAGTTCATTCCAGGCGACAGGAAGATAAAATGGAAGTGACTGGGTACAAGACAGATGAATATAAATTCTAAGAAAGTTTCACATGATGTTTAAAATAATAATATCTTGTCGTGTTTGCAACGCTGCAAATCACAGCTCCATTTATACACAGAGGACTAAGAAAGCGTAAAAACAGTCTTATAGTAAATGTCCGATGAAATTTCATAATTAGATAAGTGACAGGAACTGTATATATGAATTTATCATGGAGGAAAAGATGTCTCTCAAATGACAGCTCTATGCACTCATTGAATTCTTCCCCTTCCAATGGAATTTAAATAGGCAGAAAGGTCTGTGCCAGAAGCCCCACAGCAGAGATCAGCACAGTCTTCTGCTGAGAGAATAAAACATGCCCTGAACCTCGGCGACCAAGAAAAGTCAAGATATGAATAAATTCAAGGCTGTAGATAAAGCTTCCCACTTCCCTCCCTGACTGCATAAATTTCAGGTCTCCACAGTCTCAAAAATGTACCAATATTTATGGTCATGCCAGTATTCATCACAAATTAAAATACAGGCACTTCTGTGACTGTCAGTCTTGAATAAGCTCTGCAGCTTTTTACCAAAAAACTCAATGAGACTGCATCAATCATAAACATGGAAGGCAAACTGAGAGATCTTCAGAGTGACTGCACAGAAATCTTGTTTCTTCTACATCAGCGGAAGTTCAAGGTGATTTAGACACAGCTCATGATGGAGCAACATGAGTAACTTCAAACTACTGAAGCCTGATTTCCTATAGGAAAGATTTTATGTGATCATGACATATGTGTATCACTCATAACACCTGAAATGTCAGCCAATTACAAGTAGATTTGACAGAGGAATAGAAGTTTCAGAATAATGAAGTACCGGTAAAGAGTCCCTTGCTATCAAAAAGGGTATCTGCACAGCAGCAGCTCACACCTTTAAGTATTTAAGTATTTAAGTATTAATACTTACCCCATCCTAACTGAAAAAAAAAAAAAAAAAACAACCAGTGCTTATGCCTCAGCTGCCTAGTACAGATCAGGAGGCACGCAGTCCCGCAGTTTTTTCTCACTGATATGCATGCTGAGTAGACTCTGTATGGCAGATGACTCTGAGGAGGTATGTTTTTCTTTTTAAATTACAATATTTTGAACTTTTTTGCAAGTTCATCATCCAAAACATCTCCCAGCCCCTGCTGCACAGGCATTGGGAATGTGGTGAACTGCAATTACCAAGCAACTTGGTTTTCTTTCAGCATGAAGTGCAAGCTCGTTTTCAGAAAGCCAAGGCAAGCAGAAAGGCATAAAGTGCCTCTCTTCATTCCTTAGAATTGAAGAATTGTAAAGGTTGGAAGAGACCACTAAGATCATCTACTCCAGCTGTCAGACATCACCACCATGCCCACTAACCATGACCATAAAGCATCATATTTTTAAGTCACGCTGGCCAGCCATGTGGTCGCATTTGATGTAGTTGGCTCTTATCATGCATAGATTGAGACATGGGTAAAATCTGCTTCTATTTGCTTAAATCTGAGTACTTTGGGAGACACCCCAGAGCTCTGGGTTTCCCCACGGCTCCCAGGCTTGTCAGCTCCTGGCAACAACAAGGAGCTCAAAGATGACCCACTGAACTTCTGGCAGGGAGGTTGCTTTTGCACCTTTGCTTCCTTGCTATGTGAGTGACGACAGCTTCCTTATGTAGAGGTCTCCCACACCTCCAAGATTATTTTGTTCATCTGTCCCCATCATCCTGCTCATTAAGATATTGTCATATAGCTTGCTGAAAGCTGAAATACAGCAAGACAAGGGAAAAGCTGGGCCAGCCTGAGCAAAGCAGTACAAAGCAACTAGTTTTTCCTCAGTGAGCCAAATGAAGTTTCTTGCTTTCCCCTAAAAATTGGTCTCTTTGGTTGTAGCACACAATGCAGTGATGATGAAGGTGCCCGTGGATGGGGAGCAGTGCAGAAGCCAGGACCTTGATTTGTTCTGCAGGCAGGCAGAGGTCCTGCCCTCCAGCTATGTGGTGCAGATGCTAAGCAGAGCAGTTCCCTTCCCGTGAGAGATGGTCTCATCTAAGCAAGAGCAAGACACAGCTTGCAAAAACCAGAAAAGGCTTTCTTGCCTCTCTGCATGCTTCAAATAAGGTGGTGTAATTTTTTATTTTAATATAAAAAATTGCCTTGTAATGAAACTTCACATGACACTCAGGCAGCTAAACTAAAAGCTGTAGGGTTACAGCTAACCTACATGAGGATTCTAGAAAGCCAGTCTTTTTGTGGTCATCGGCAAGCAATGTGGCTTCGAGCCCATTTAAGTCATACCTCATTAAAAATGCAAATTAAGAACGAAACATCCAAACACAGGCATCCCGCCAATTCTGTCGCAGAGATGTAAATTGCTAATCAAACAAGTACCACACTGAGCTTTTCTTTCCTTAAAGACAAAACCACGCACACAATGAGCCGCATAAATGAGCTCCTTGAAACAAGGAAGCAATCAGCCAACTCACTTCCAAAAGTTGCTAATCTTGGGCTGCCGGGTTACTTCTGACCCCCCATGCACAGCTGCACTGTGAACACGGACTTGCTTATTACAAGTTTATACTCTGCTGTCATTAAGCAAACAAGCTGCTTCAGGGCTCAGCACAATGCAGAGCAGATTATCCACACATCCATGGATGTGGGAAATGCTCAAAACCCCATTACTGTCTCGAAGAGTCACACCAGCATGTTCAGTGCTGTGCTTGTAATGAGCTCCGTGCCATCGCTTTTCTTTACTTTTTAATTTCCTTCCTTTCCACAATGACAAGTCACTATATTCACCTAAAGCTTTTCCCAAGTAATAAAGACTACAAAGAGTTTACTCTGTTTTCTGCATGAAGAGAAATCAAATACTAAACTATCCCTGGTGTGTATTAAATATAACCAATAAACAATCATTAGCTGCCATTGGACCATAAAATTTGAAGAGCCCTAACATACCATGTTGTTCATGGGAGTTCAGTAGTTCGTTTCACATGGCCATGCAGCCTCCTTGTCTGTGTGCGGTAATGGGATATGCATGCGCAGGACGTGCCTTCCAAGGGTGCAATATATGTTCTGCTTAATGCAGTCCAGCATCCACATTGCTCACGCTTCCTCCACCAAATACCCAGAGCAAACATTGAAAATAAAACAAGTTCACAGAGCCATCCAAGACGTACTGTATTGTTAGAAGCTATTTTCCAGCAACATTAACATGCAAATAATGTTGGTGGCTGGCTGATGGAATTGGAGGCTGTGTACATATCCCAGGCTTTCATTTTGCTTTATGACAGCTGGATTGCTTGCCATGTATATCCTGCTTTACAGCATACCAAACTGTGTGGAGGGAGAGAAACTATAGAGACATTCCTGGCACAATGAATTTGATCACCAGTGGATGAATATACCTACAAGTACGTTTTACAGAATATATTGAGCCATTCAAAGCATAGCTGCTCTCCTCTGAGATTCGTAATAGGCATTGATATAAAACCCAGGATAGTATGGGAATATGGAATAGCTTCTGACTGCCAATTTGGGATGGCCTGCTACTTGAGCAAGTCTTCTCAAAGGGATGTTGCTAAAGTCCATTATTGAATTTTTAACACAAGTAATTTTTGCACACTAACAACTGCAAATGCCATTTTTCCTCTGCATTTTGCAGCGCTGCCCACCACAGTGCTTGACATCAGATCCAGGCAGGAGATGGATGGATTCGGTTAACACACAGGACAAGGCAAATGGTGTAGCTTTATAAAACTGTAATCCTAGTATCTTATTTTCTGTAGCAAAACTGGAGACACGGACATTTAAGACTCAGCAGCTGATTTGTTATAGCCATTAGACTGTGATGTTTGCTTTCAGTTATTTTTAAGACCTCAGATTTTCTTGTGCTGCTGAAAATAACTGGCCAGTGTAAGAAATGTCTACTTAGAAGTTAACATAAGCATTGCTGGAATTGCTTGTGATCCCCCGACCACAGTGTTCGCAGTGGAGCTTCCTTCTTTGCACCTTTACTTTAGTCAGAAAGTCAGAATGATGTGAGATGTAACACTGCAGTAATTTGGGCAAAAGGGACCATGGCTCAGCTTGCTCACACAAACAATCCAACCGGCCTGAATGGGATGGTCTTTTAATGCAATCAATCACTGTGCCACTGCCTAGTTATAGCATCAAACTAATGAGCCCTAAATCCCTAATATGGGTCATTTGAACTGCTCTTACACAAACAAAAACAAACAAATAAAAAAAGAACCAAGAAAAAAAGAAAAGAAAAGGAAAGGAAAGGAAAAAAGACAATGCCAATTCTTGGCACAATTAAGTGTAAAACTGTAAATTCAGAGGGCAGCTACTCCAAAGCGTCAATATAAACATCAGGGCAGAAAATCACAAGCACCAACTGATGAAGAAAGAACCAGAGAGAGGAATAATTGCCTGCTTCTGGCTGCATAATCTGGGCACAATGGCTGGGTTTAGAAAGGAAAATCAAATCAAGAAATCCTACACGGGGTGTCTAAGCAAATCTTTCCGAGATGTATGAAGGGTGGCACCAAACGCCAGGTGAAAAACAAATAACACTAACAGCTCCACAAGTCCTGCTTAAACAAATGCAATAAATAATGGAGGAAGGCAAGTAATATATTCCAGAGGATGTTTTACAAAACCCGGCTAAACCTAGCAACTTCTTGCAATCAAATTATGTATGCCTGGCATATAGTTCACTACAAATTCTAATCAGTTCTACCCTTCTAATAACATTACACAGAAAAATACATCATCATCCATCAACCAGATGGAGCATGATAGTTATACAAAACGTATTGTATATTTTTTATTTTCCACTATGAGAATGTGATAAAATTGTGCACACTAGATTTAGAGATTATAAATAAATATTTTAGGCTCTATAAATCTCTGTAAATATTTATTTGCAAAATATTGTATACATGTTTAATCATTAAAAATGCTACTTCATGCTATGGGGAGGGAAAGAGATTTTACTGGCACAGGCTTTTGACTGCTGCATTGTCAACACACAAAGAACGTAAAGCTCTGTAGCTCATCTCCAGCAAATTTCAGCTTAACTTTCTTCTTGTACTACCTAAGTATAGAAATATTTGGGCTAGAGAAAGGCAGCATGTTCTACGGAGGCTGTTTATTCTGCTGTGCTACAAAAAGGAAAATTTGCACATGTAATGGGAGTGGAAATGTTTCAGCAATGCAAAGCTGCTCTGGTACTTTATAGGAGCTGTGGTTAGGTGCCACATGTGTTCCCATGCTACAGACAGGCCGCTGTATGCAGGTAACTGCCACTCATTTCTATGTGGTTTGTTCCTGCAGAGCATCAAGAGAGACTCTGCATAAATGGGGAGAGATGCAAATCAATCAAACGCCAAAGCAGCGCTACTGCCTCATGTCCAAAGGGATACCCTGGATTTGGGCAAATTCTTTTACTGTAAGAAATTTTCAACAATGTGTTTGGTGTTAGTTTTCATCTCAAACCAGCATGACATTGCTCTGCTGCTACAAGTCCTGCAACAGTAACGCTGCAGAAGACACAGGCAAACAGCATTTTAAGGCAGCTGGGCAAGCAAACCTGTGCTTCATCTCCTCAGACACAATCTGAAAGTGCTGAACAACTAGGCTGCAAACCAGACTGGTGGAGAAAGCGAATGCAAGGGAGCATCTCAGCTGACCTTCTAGGGATCTGGACTCACAGCCTAAAGTGGGCCCATAGGGGCCACTGTGAAGAGATGGGTCTCGGTCAAAACACTACAGCAAAAATAAATTTGCCTTCTGCCTCAGCAAAATGTTTCAACACCTGATTTAGTGGGGGATTATATATCATTCAAGACAGGATGTGAATAGCAGAGTTGATTGGGGCAAAAAGCAGGAGGTGACTGATGGAAATACATCTACTACAGGAATTCCAGAAACTGTAATTGGATCTTCTGCTACCTTTTCTTTAACCCCTAGGCCTGTTAGGTAGGTCACACTGCTGGGATAAATTGATAAAGTTCCCTGAAAATTTACTCCCCCTTCCCTTATCTTCATGGACTATTTCCTTTCCACAAAGTATGATGCATATAAATTCAGGTTGCTATTTTCCCACTTTGTGGAAGGAGATTGATGCAAATATGCACCTGGGATGAAGCCTACCTGCTGGCACAGTATTAGATCATGAGCTGTCCCACTGCACTACAGACTTGTTTCTGCAAAGACTCAGGTTAGTGTATACCAATAAGATTTTCAGGAGAACATTTTGCAGTTGGTTTTAACAAAGTATCTACTACTGCCGCACTCTGACCCAAGCTATGCTAAAATCTATTTTAGAAACGCTTTAGAAACGCTTTTTGCTACGTGTGCCTTCAGACTGAACATTTTAAAATGATAATGGAAAGGCAGCCTGACAAGGCTTAATTTTAAGAAATTAAAAAAAAAAAAAATCAATAAAAATGCACTGTGCTATTGTAACAAAGCTGGCAAAGAGAATCAAAGGTTGAATTTTCCCTGTTTTTTTTTATTAGATGGTGCTGTACGAACATCTAAATTGTGCTTTGATTCCAGTTTCAGCAACATTGAAAACATTTAAGAATATTCATAATAGTAAATGATGTAGCTGCTCTGATTCACCAAGAACATAATGCACTCTACAGACACCATCTAGCTGAGCTTCCAAGCAAAATAATTTGATAGAACACTTAATAAAGAAAAAAAAGCAATGTTTCATCGTGCAAATGAGAAATACCCTTTGGTTAGAGAAGAAGGGTGACCTTGTTGATACAAAGCTGAGACTTGAAAGAGCTACCTCTGCTGATGTTATAAACGATGCAATGAAACTTTCCGCAACAGAATTTTCCAGGAAAACACCTTTGCAAATCTCAACATGGTGGGGAATTTCTGCTGTATGATCATGCGCTGCACTGGGACAGAGAGCCGTGCCTTTCAGCTGACAACTGACTGCACTGCATTCTTCACCTGCTGTGTCCCAGCCTCCTCACTTCCCTCCATCCTCCCCTCTCCCACCCTCCTGCCCAGGTCCAAGTAGAACCAAGCCCCACTCACACTTTGTCTGTGCCATAGCTCCGGTAGTCCACTGCTGCTGACACAGCCACGATCAGTGCAGGCATGCCATAGCCAACCAAATAGAAGTACTTCCTCCGGGAGTGTTCACTCTCAAAAACCTCCACCAGCATGATGTAGAGCTGCACACCTTCCAAGAACATCCAGGTGAAAGCCGCCAGGAAGAAGAAGTGCAGGAGGGCAGCAAAAACAGCACAAGCAATCTGTAGACAGATTTCAAAAGAGCCAGAGAAAGTGTTTCAACCACACAAACTTTATGTAACACTCAAGTTTATACAAAAACATGTTCTCACTGGGAGGTTTAATAAGAATGAAGGAGTTCCTGTTTCACCATCTCCAGTGTAACAACATTTTTTTCACTTTGGAAACATATATATGAACAATTTTTAAACACACAACTGTACATACAAATTATATTCAAAGATACAAAAGCAGGTATGTACATACTTTGGTAAACAAACACATACAGATGTATATAGTATAAGCAGCATAAGCACACTTGTACTACCTGCTGATTAAACATATGCACGCATATTGTTTACAAACAACACCCCTACAGTCACTAAAATGAGAGCAGGCTTTTTCCATGGCTCCCATGATTTTCAAGTCAGACCCTCAATTTCAGTGTGACTCTCTGGCTGTTAACTCCAGGGTATGTGTGTTTGCGTGCACACAGATCTCTGTTTCTGACTGGTGCGTGTGTTGACAGACAGTTATGCAGGCATACATGCACACAAGTGTGCAGGATGGATGACTTCAGTGCTCCAGTGCACTGGAGTTTATCCGTAGATTCACAAAGGCTGTGTTTCTACTCCCAAAGTCTCTCCACAAACATTTTTGCCTAGGCGACTTTCCAAATGTCAACATGCCCTGTGAATATCCTTGGGTGCTGTGCACAGTCTGACACGCATCAGGGGCTTTCCAACACAGCAGTTATAGGCAGAGTATTATGGGAAGGGATATGAAAAACAGGAAATACCATGAGAATGCAGAATCCATCCCAGTGCTATGAAGAAGGCTTTTTCTTTTTTAAAGCAGAATACCAACATGCAATCTAGAATTAAATAAATGTGGAAAGGCATTGCTTAGGGAGTAGTTTTTTCCATCCATCCAGAGATCTCAAGGCAGCTAATACAAGCAAGTATCTTGACCTCCTTTCAGTAACCAGAATCTGACTTCCAGTTGATAACTTCACCCTGCAAGAGCTCAACGGGGCTTAAATAGCACTGGAATATATCCCACCCCATGGTAACATCCTGTATGCTGTGAGGTGAGAGCCCGCAGTGGGAACAGAAAGCGTTTTGCCTCTTACCGGCTGGTCAGTCCGGTTGATGCCAATGAGGAAGAGAAGTTCTGCTACAAAAAGGCTGATGCACAAGTTCTTGTGAATTGTGTTGCGGTCACTCTGTAGCCCACGGAAGAAGCAGAAGGTGAAGATGCAGATCAGGAGGCAGACAAGTGACAGCAGGATGCCCACCCAAGTGATAAAATCCAGAAGCAGGTCATGCACTGCATCGCTGTGCTGGAGATAAAACAATAAAAAGATCATCAGCCATATACTGCATAACTTCTAATCTGTCCCAGGTAAACAGTGAGATTATCTGAGACCCTCAGACTCACCAAGTCGTGGCACAATTAACTAGTAACTAATGAAGGATATTAAGACTAAATGGACCTAGACTTGAATCCAGCAGCCTGAAACTCATACTGCAAAGTTTCTGGCAAATTATGAGTGCCAAGACAAATTCAGACCTCAGAATATCCTAGAAATAATGATGCTGTTGCTGAAAACATTGAGACATCATAGCTAGTCTTGAGTGCAGCTCCACTTTTCACAAACATGGCAAAGAAGAGGATGTACTGTATAAAGAACCATCAAACATTGTGATTCAGGTGTAAAAATGTTTCATACACTACATTGTGAAATTGACAACCACAAGTCTGTTAAAACCATTTAGCAGTGAAAAAAGACTCTTTACTCATCCACAGACATATATGAGCTTGAAGGTTTTGGACAGAAAGAGAACACTTAAATGTCTTGCCTTTCTTTTCAATGGGGAACAAGAAAGAACTTTTTTTTTTTCAAGACCTGGAGCCCTACGTTAAAACTCCAGGGAAGCCAAACTGAGCCCTGGAACACTCCTCAGGAGAAGAAAAAAAAAAAAAAAAAGGAAAAAAGACATCTCTTTTCACATGACTTTTGTTTTAAATTCTAACAAAACAATGGTGTTAAGAAAGCTGGGCAAGTGAGTGCTTCCCTCACTTGTAACACACTTATCACAAACCATGCAAGCCTGGCCATTGCAGTTAATCCAGCAACAATGTTTTGCAAAGTACAGCGCAGGTGTGCTTTGGCTTGGCTGATAAACATCTCTGCTCCTGAACTGCTCCTGAACTTGCATTGCATTTGCTTAGCAGAAAAAAGAGGGCAGAGTTCTGAAACTCTAAGACTCTAATAGTGAGGGCATTCCACCACCTTACCAAGATTGTAAAACTCACCAGTAACTCCACAGGTTTCCACCAGATGTGGTGAAATTAGAGATATCACTACTTAGTAAAATGTAAATAAGAAAAGAGAAATACATGGAAAGTCACAAAGTGGCTGCTCAGGACTAAGTAGTTAGAGTCAAAGAGCTGAGTAAAAGACTGCCTGGAAGTCTCCAGGGCCTTTTCACATTTCCCTCCACTTCTGGCATTTTGATGACTTAGGCATTATTTAGACTGGCAAATACAATAGTGTCACACTTCAAAAAGCCAGGACAAACTGGAAACATTTTCCTCCCTGTAGGATAAAAACCTATGACAGATGGAGGGAAAAAGGTGATTAATTTATCCATTTTCTTTGCCTGCCTGCCAATGATAAAGCCACATCAAATGTCAGGCCTTTCCTGATATACACTCTGCTATGTCAGCACCCGTGAGAAACAACTCAAATCTTTCAGCTCTTTGGCTTTATTAGCATGAGTGATAGGCATCAAATGATAATGAAAGATGGGGAGTGGATTTCCCCTCCATCTCTTCCATGCTGGAAGTTTTCTTTCAAAGGAGACTCTCTGAAGGAGGCAGAGAGATGAAGTCTCCTTTCCTCAAATGCTCCTTCAGAACTGTTCGAGCATTTCTGATATCACAGGAGCTAGGTGTATCAAGTACAGGACTGAGGCATGAAATCCTTGTGCGCTTAGTGCGCTTGACCATGATAGAAATGCCTGTTCCATGCAGCTCCTCTAGCACCCAGCAAACCGAGAAGACTAAGTGCACATTGTTTTCCTGGTGGCCACACATTCCTCTATCTGCGTCATTTCAGCTCATCCATTCCTCTAAATTCAATACAAAAACATGCTAATGCAAACCTTGAGCCTTTCAAATCATTCTCTTTTTCATCTGAGTCTGCAGAGGAGCAGCAGATAACGTCTCTCTGAACAGCCCTGCCAGCTCACCTAAGCAAAGGGACCTGCCAGGCAAAAGTGACAGAAGGCTCTGGGACTGGGAGAGCAGGACAATCTGCTAACGCAGGTATATATGTAAGGAGACAACAACCATGAGGGCTTTGGAAGAGTGGGTGACATGAGCCCAGTGGCACAGACTCAAAAATTCCAAGGCACAGCTAGCCTAGCAAAAGGAACACTCAGGGTTTCTTCCCATATATGAGACAAAGTTTAGAAAAAGGCCGCTTTCCAGCCTCTTGTCCTCCAATTTGTACACATAACCAAACTTGCCCCCTCCCTGCTGCAGAATCCAGCACTTGCTCTTGTTCATGTGGCCCAGCCCTCTAGTTTGTCAGGATCTCTCTGCAAGGCCTCTCTATCCTCCAGGGAGTCAAAAGTTCCTCCCGGATAAGTGTCATCTACAAATATACCCAGTATACCTTCAAGTCCAGTATCCCAGTCAATGAGGAAAACATTATAGAGAACTGGCCTTAAAATTAATACTCTTCTTTCTAAGAAGAGACCAATCCCTGCCACTAGCCATAGAGAGTGTGCTAGTTGCAGGAATAACGTAGAAAAAGGAGGAATTGAGGTAATCACTCCTCGATACTCTGAGATTATCCTTGCTATCACCTGTAACGTTGCATAACAAATACGGCAGCAATGTCTGGTTTGCCCAATTGGCACAAGACTTTGCAGGGTAAGTATAATAAATAGTACACTGACATTTTGTGCCTGGGTTGCAATATCTAAGCTCATTCCCTCAACCACTGAGACACACAAAATAAGCACATCTTCTCTTTACCCTGCTCTTCCCCAGCACAGTTCAAGCACTCCGTGACCAAGGACAAAATAGCTTTGACATGTACACTAATGATATCCTTGTAGAACCCAGCAAGCCCTAAGGTCCCTAAAGCATGTGAAACACATTCAAAACCACCAGAGTGCTGATAACAGTCAACTTGTTCTTCTCAATAATCTCCTGAAGATGCTGGCAACCAGAACCCATGGGAGATCCCAGATGTCATGACAAGTATCAATTTCCTGACAGTATCAAACACCAACTTGCCCAAATGCATCATGACTGCCAAGACCTGTATATCAAGACTTTCATGGTCCCTTATGCAAACCACTGAGTGTTGTTACAGCTAAAGCCATGCTAGCTTTAAAGGTAAGTTGACACATTGATTATTTTCAGGATAGGAACAATTATTAAGTGAACTACACAATAACATCCAGGTGGATGTATTCCTTTGGATTCCAAAACTGCATTGCAGGCTTAAAAGCAGAAAAGTTTGCACTAACATTGTAAAAATGTAGACGTAAAAATATTCTTTGTTACGTAAGTTTTACAACTGTAACTTACGGAAGAACCCGACCCCAAATTCAGTGAAGGAAACGCTCCTTCGGTCCTTTGCTTTGGAGTAAAGCCTTTCTTTTGCTCAGGTGGGCCAAGAGCTGGTGGAAAACCGTGCTGTCAGAAACCTATGCAGGAGGAGCTGCAGGAACCCCAACAGCCACCACAGTGGACGAACAGGCAACCAAGCCATTATCCAGGCTGTGAAATCAATGAGCAGCTCTGGCAGCGCTGGCACAGCAGAACTGAGCTAATAAAAACAAATCCCAGGGAATGTCAGCTTATGACAGAATGGCTCTCCCCAAGATGAACAGCCATTTCCTCCCTTATTAAAAACATCAGTAGAAGAAAACAGCAGCCAAACCAAGCTGCCAGCAGCAAAGGACACATTCTTTTGCCTAATCTGTCCCTTCAGGAAAGGAAAGAGTAATATATTTGGAGATGGAGGAATAAACAAGCAGTAAATAACACAGTGTCATTGATTCACTCAGATATGACCACTCGGTGCCTGGTGAGAGCTGGCAGTGCAGGGCTGGGCAGAGACCCAATGGGACAGATCTGAACTCCTGCACACTGCCGCTTCTGCAACTTCTCAGATTTGCAGCTCTCCAAAGCTGTTTAGGCTCTCTCTGTCCTCTTCTCCCATCACTGGTGTCAAGAGAGGATTACTTCTATAGCCTAGCTGTAATGCTTCATGGCAAAGCACAAAGGATTTAACTTTACAAGCAAATGGTTTTGTAGGTATGCCAAAAGTGTCAGCTGGGCTTCCTGGACTGGGAGGAAACCCCAAGGTCTCCTGGACTTTTTAACAACACTGCTTGCTGTAGTTATGCAGGCACATTCCAATGGGGCTTTCCTTCCTCTGTGGCCAAGTGGGACATGTGCTGGGAAGGGGAGCCCACTGCCCTAGAAACCATCCTGTCCTTCCTTTCCAAAGATGTACCAAGGGAGGCAGCCAGTCCTGTTCTGCTGGAAAACAGTAGCCACCTAGGTGTGCATCCCCTTCGTGCTCTGCAAAGGCAGCACAGCTCTGCCCTGCTTTCATGGGCACTGTCAGAACCTAATCCAGGAATAGAGCCTGATGCCCCTCAAAGCCTATGTGCAATGTCACTGGCTCCTCACTACTATCTTTTAAATAAGGCTCCAAATTCTGAGCGTTCATGCAAAGTGGTTTAGCTGCCAGAATAATGTGACACGGGCATACACAAAGGGAAATGGGTACAGATCTCATCTCACCATGCACTTTAAACCATGCTGTGGATACGGTGGGTGGGAAGAGCCCAAGTTTCCATCTCAGTGCTGACAGTGCTGCAGCTTTCCTGCGGCAAATCACACTGTGTTATGCAGGTGAGGAGAAGTGGTTTGGATCTGTAATTGCAACATCCTGGCCCTCTCCTGCTGGCTGGAGTTGGTAAAGTGGCACAGTTCTGCTTACTTATAAGGCATCTCTAACTACAGAAACAAGCCATAGTGGTGGTGCCAAGCTTACAGTGTAGATGCCTACACAGCCAAGCGGCTGGCTCATTAACTTGATTTCCCAGAAAACCTGGTCACAGCATCATCAGCTCCTTCTGTCACACTGATGGCCTTACCCAGCCCAGTTCCAGGAGAGCAGGGATAGGGCTACACCATACCATAACCTTCCCTTCAGTCCTCATACATACAGCTACCTTCCAAGATAAGGAACAGCACAAGCTATGAGGCATCTCATTCCCCTTTGCCCCTGCTTATTCTTTAAAG